CTCACAATCGCCCCACACTCCTCACAACCCCCCCACACTCCTCACAATCACCCCCATACTCCTCACAATCACCCCACACTCCACACAATCCCCCCCACACTCTTCACAATCACCTCACACCCTCACAATCCCCCCACACTCCTCACAATCCCCCACACTCCTCACAATTACCTCACAATCCCCCCACACTCCTCACAATCACCTCATTCCCCCACACTCCACACAATCACCTCACAAACAACCACTTCCACCGAGACAAGAAAAAGGACCGTGTTTTTGAGTTACACAATAACGCGAAGTCAGTGTTCGACCTGCGCCTGTGTGTGTACTGAAAGCTTGTGTGTTTTTACAGGGTACCTTTAAGTGGCAAAAGCGTGAGAGTCGGTGTGTACTGGTCCGAGGAAGGAGGCTGTGTTTGGTGTATATGTGTATATTTATATATGTGTATATATATATATATATATATATATATTATATATATATATATATATATATGTATATGTATATATGTGTGTGTGTGTGTGTGTGTGTGTTGTGTGTGTGTGTGTATGTGTGTGTGGTGTGTGTGTGTGTGTGTGTGTGTGTATGCATATGATTATCATTATTGTTATTTAATTCCTGTTATTACTGAAGTTTTATCATTTATTTTGTCATTATCCTTATTGTTGTTATTTTCATAATTACTATCACCATCATTATTATCATTATTATGATAGTAATGATAATTATTATCATCACTGTTATTAGCAGTAGTATTAACAGTATCGTTATTATGATTTTTATAATCTTTATCATTACCGCTGTTGCTTTTATTGTTATTATTATTATCAATTGTTTTTACAATTATCTCTTATAATGGTATCACTGTTATTATTGTTATTATCATCTTCATTTTCATCCTCATCATCATCGCCACCATCATTGTTATATTTTCATTTTTACTATCATTGTAATTATTATCATCATAGGTATTAAGATCACCATAATATGAGTGTTCTCAATATAATAATTACAATAATAATGGTATTTATTAATATTTTCAACATTATTATATATATATATATATTTTAAATGCAGTAGTATGGCATTATCATTAACCGAAGAAAAAACGAAAAAGGGATTAAGAAATGAGAAGAGAAATGAGAAAGTCAAATGACGAGAAGAAAGCCAAGAAAAAAAAGATAGTGATCTTAAACAATTTGAAATCATCTTCTCACTTTGCTTATCTCCCCCCCCTCCCCTTCTCCCCTCCCTTCGTATCTCCTACTCTCTTTCCCTCTCCTCTTCCCTTCCCCCTCCTCTGCTTCCCCTTCTCTCTCTCTTCTACTTCCTATTACCTCTCCTACTCCCCCTCCCCGTTATCATTTTTCCCTTCCATCCTCTTCTCCTCCTTTCTTCCTATCTTCCCTACCTCCAACTCTTCCCCTTTCTCTTCTTCCCTTCTCTCTCTCTACTTCCACTACCTCCTACTCCTGTTCCCAATCTTCCCCCTCCCCTCTCCCCTCCCTCTCCCTCCCTGCCAATCTTTCCCACCCCTCTCCTCTCTTCCTTCTTCTCCCTCTCCTCTCCTATTCCCTTTCCCTTCCCTTTCTCTTTCCCTCTTCTCCCTTCCTCCCTTCCCTACCTCTACCCTTCTCCCTTCCCTCCCCCTACCCTTCTCCCTTCCTCCTTCACTCACCCTCTCCTCCTCCTCTCCCTCCAATCCCTCCCCCTACCCTTCTCCCTCTTCACCTCCTTACCTTCCCTCCCCCTTACTCTTCTCCCTTCCTCCCTTCCCTCACCCTCTCCTCCTCCCTCCCTCCCTTCCCGTCTCCCCCCCTTACTCTCCCTCCTCCCTACCCTTCTCCCATCATCTTCTTCCCTTCTTCTCTCTCTCTCCATCATATACGTCTTCTGAGATTCCTCGCAGATAAGCTTGAAAGAAGAAGAGAAACTAAGAGAATGTGTTTGCTTGTGTCTGACTCCGCCGCCACAAAGAGGATAAAGGGAGGAGGTGGGAGATAAGAGGAATGAGAAGGGGAAGTGAGAGAAAAGAGGATAATAGTGAGAGAAAGTGGAAGGGAAAAAAGGGAAAAGGGAGAGTGATTAAGAGAGATGGAAATGCTAAAGAACTTTTTAAAATATACGAAATGAAAAGGATAAGGGGAGAGGGAATAAATGAAAAAAAAGAAAGAGGAAGAAATTAAAGATGATAGCAAGTGGGGATCTTAATGAGAAATTATCGAAAGAAAAAATATTGAAAAATGAAACTAACACTTGAAAAACTAAACAGCCGAAAAAAATGAGAATCACAATCAAAATAAAAGATTGAAGCAAAAGAAAAGAAGAGAAAAACAACAACAACACAAAGGAAGAAAAGTAAAACGGAAATAAAGTAAACAAAGGAAAGACAATTAATGATAAGCAATAGGCACTAGAATAAGAAATACAGAAAACAATATGAAGTAAAATATAATTAAGATTAGAAATAAGATACTACTGAAACTATGGAGGGAATCAG